TTAGTTGGATTAGATGCAGAGATGAGGCCCATGAGCTCGAGCTCGAGAGCTCAGCAGCCGAACCCGAGGGCCTGGGAACAAAGGGTTTAGGGTTTAGGGTTTAGGGTTTAGGGTTTAGGGTTTGGGCTGCTGCTGCTGCATGCAGCCCCAATGAGGCGCTGCCGTAAATTATTTATTGAAATAAATAAAGATTTCATCTGATTTGTTCAAATCGAGCTGCATAGAGCTCTAAACCCTAAACCCTAAACGCTAAACCCTAAACCCGCAGCTCACAGCTTCCCCGATTCCCTCCTTTTCTAGAAATTGCGTCGGACTAGGGTTTAGGGTCTAGGGTTTAGGGTTTAGGGTTTGCTGCGCAATGCGCCTTTCGTTTTGGTTCGTTTGAACAGAGGATGTGGGTAGACCAGCAGCAGCAGCAGCAGCGCAGCAGCAGCAGCAGCAGCAGCAAAATTGTGCTGCCTGGAGAGCCGCTGCACCTCGGCGAGGGTTTTCTTCTAGGCCTAAACACTCATGTTGAAGATGGGGTGGCGAGGTCTTCTGTCTGCGGCGTCTTACAAACTGTAAACCCTAAACCCTAAACCCTAAACCCTAAACCCTAAACCCTAAACCCTTTGTTCCCAGGCCCTCGGGTTCGGCTGCTGAGCTCTCGAGCTCGAGCTCATGGGCCTCATCTCTGCATCTAATCCAACTAAATCCTAAACACTAAACCCTCACAGTTGTTTGGTAAACCCTAGCTGCAGACCAGTAGGCCCTAGACCATAAACCCTAAACCCTAGCAGCTTTGCCGCAGCAAGCTGCAAAGTCTATCCACTTTCTCAAAATCCTAATCTCTCCGCCAGATCCCACAGCTAGGACGTAGTTTCAGGTCATGGTTTAGGGTTTAGGGTTTAGGGTTTAGGGTTTAGGGTTTAGGGTTTAGGGTTTGCGCAGGTAAACCGGCTGGTCTACGTGAAACCCTTAAAGAGCCGCTACGAGGCAAATGTGGGCGACGTCGTAGTGGGCAGAGTGGCGGACATAGCCAACGGCAAGGTCCCAAACCCTAAACCCTAAACCCTAAACCCTAAACCCTAATTCCTTCCGAGTGTGCGCGGCTGGCGCAGCTGGCTGCGAGCAGCAGAGCGGGGGTTTGGGGGTCTTTCTTCTGAGCAGCGCAGCATGCTGCTCCGTCGCAATTGCGGTTTAGGGTTTAGGGTTTAGGGTTTAGGGTTTAGGGTTTAGGGTTTAGGGTTTGGGCGCAGTGGCTGGTGGACGTGGGGGCGGCGCGGCTGGCGGTTTTAACCCTCGGAGGAGTTTCTCTAGATGTTCAAAGAAGAAGAGATGAATCCGATCTTTTGGACATGAGGGTTTTGTTCAAACCCTCGGATTTGCTTTGCTGCGAAGTCCAGAAAACCCTCGTAAACCCTAAACCCTAAACCCTAAACCCTAGGTGGTGGGCGTTGGGCCGTGGGTGCTGAGTGAATCTGGTCTTTTGGACATGAGGGTTTTGTTCAAACCCTCGGATTTGCTTTGCTGCGAAGTCCAGAAAGCCCTCGTAAACCCTAAACCCTAAATGAGCGATATTCGGTGGAAGTAGTTTATGTGCAAAACCCCAAACCCAAGGCCAAAACCCTAAACCCTGCTCTGCATGTTCAAAAGCTCAGGCCCTTGCTGCAGGCTTACCCACTCCAAACCATAAACCCTAAACCCTAAACCCTAGATTTGTTTTGCTGCAGAGCGACGGGACCATAATGCTGCACACCCGCAATTCTCGCTACGGAAAACTTTCCAAGGGTTTAGGGTTTAGGGTTTCGCCGCAGCTGATAAAGAGACAGAGCAGACACATTGCTTCTCTCAAGTGCGGCCTGCAACTCATTCTCGGAGTCAACGGTGAGGGTTTAGGGTTTAGGGCTTAGGGTTTGGGGTTTAGGGTTCATGGTTTAGATTATGGGGTTCTGGATTTAAGGTTTAGGGTTTAGGGTTTGGTGTTTAGGGTTTAGGGTTTGGGATTTACGGTTTAGCCCTGTGTTGCACTGGAGCGGTGGTTCGTCGTCTGTTTTGTACCGCTCCTAGGGTTTAGGGTTTAGGGTTTAGGGTTTAGGCTTTAGGCTTTATGCTTTAGGGTTTAGGGTTTAGGGTTTAGGGTTTGAGCGTGCAGGTTACTTGTGGATAAGCGTGCCGAGCGTTGGGAGCGAGGAGGCTGGGGCGGCGCAGCCGCCAGCGCAGCAGCAGCAGCAGCAGCAGCAGCAGCAGCAGCAGCAGCAGCAGCACGTGCCTGTGCACCTGCGGCGGCAGCTAGCGCTAGCTAGGAATGTGGCTAGCTGCCTCAGCAGCAGAGGGTTTTCGTTGTCAGTGGAGAGAATAGATTGCTGCATGCAAATAGCAGCAAAAGAGAAGTTGGGGCCGCAGCAGCTGCTGCAGCAGCAGCACGCAGACAGAATGCTCAGCCTCCTCGAAACCCTAAACCCTAAACCCTAAACCCTACGACCCCCCACAGCCAGCTCCGCGGCTCCTTCCGGGGCGTCGCGGGGAAGGCGGCGGTTTAGTGTTTAGGGTTTAGGGTTTAGGGTTTACAGGGTGGACTGGGACTCAAGTGCTGCAGCACAAAGAGCACCCCTATGTGCTGCTGCAGCTTCAAAACCCTAAACCCTAAACCCTAAACCCTAAACCGTTGATCCAAGGGATTCCACTGCGAGTACGCAGGACTGCTTTTTTAAGCGATTTGTCATCCAGCACTTAGGTTTTAGGGTTCGGAGTTCAGGGTTTGGGATTTAGAGTTCAGGGTCTAGGGTGTAGACTTTAGGGTTTAGGGTTTAGGGTTTAGAGTTTAGGGTTGGGCGTTAGGGTTTGGGGTATAGGGTTTTGAGTTGCCTCCTCCAGCACCAGTTTTGCCTCCTGTCTCTTCGACCCTCCAGGGTTTAGGGTTTAGGATCTAGGGTTTACAGCATAGGTTTTAGGTTTTAGGGTTTAGGGTTTAGGGTCTAGGGTTTGTGTTAGCTGTTCGAGTAAACACAAAAAAAACCAAACAAACAAACGAACATCTGAACATCTGAAATTAACAAAATAAATTAACTAATTAATTAGTTAATTAATTAATAAGTTTAATTAATTAATTAATTCACTATTAATTGATTAATTGATTAGTTAATAATTAATAAATTATTAATTATTAAATAATTATTAATTAATTGACTAGCTAATTAGCTAACTAATTAGTTAACTAATTAATTAATTTAAAAATTAATTAGTTAATTAATTAATTAATTAATTAACTAGCTAAACTAACTTTTTGTTTAATTGGAATAAAATGCAAGAGAGACAGCAAAAAACAAATCTGCCAGTTTTGCATTTTTTTTGCCATTTTATTTACTTGTTGGTTTTAGTCTCACGACCTTTTCTGTATAAATTGTTATATTTATTTATTTATTTTTCTATTTATTTAATTACTATTTATTTATTTATTTATTTATTTATTTATTTATCTATTATCTTTGATTTATTGGTGGGTATTTATTCGGCGTCCATTCAGCCAGTTATTCGCAATTTTGATTGTCGTTTATTCGTTTGTTTTCTATTTATTAGGGTTTAGGGTTTAGGGTTTAGGGTTTAGGATTAAGGGTTTATTTGTGTATATACCGCGCGCATGCTTTATTATTTGTTCTTTTCTCATTTTCGAACATCTTCCTTCTTATTTAGCCACTATTCTTTATTTTACTTTATTGTTATTATTTATTATTTTAAATTATTTATTTCTTTTTTGCTGTTACGCGTTGCAAACTTCGGGTGTACAGACACCTCGGAGGTGTCTGTGCACCCGAAATGCTCTCTCGACTCTGCCGGCGAAACAGAAGATAAAATTGGCGGAATTGAATCAACTAAAAGAAAAATAAATAGATAAATAAATATAAAAATTAATTATTAATTGATAAATGAACAAATAAAGCTGCTGAGAAGAGAAACAAATTCATTTTTCAACAACTCAGAATAGCAAGGAGCCATGGGAGCCAAATGGCTCACTGACTCCACTTTTTCACTTTTTGAAATAAATTGAAAATTAAAATTAAGATATATTAAAATTTAAACTAAATTAAATTAAAAATAAATAATTAAATAAGAATAACCAGCTTTCAGTATATATACAGCTCAGGAGGGGCCCCTGAGGGGCCCCTACGGGGGCCTCAGGGGGACCCCGAGCAGCAGCCACACTAAACCCTAAACCTTAAACCCTAAACCCCAAAATGTTTGAGCTCTTATCTGATAGGTTTTCGAGGAAAAGTGTCTAATTAAAGGGCGGGCTCAAGGGTTTAGGGCCTAGGGTTTAGGGTTTAAGATGGAGGGCTTAGGGTTTAGGGTTTGACGGCAAGATCGACGGTGACCTCCAGTGTTCCTCAGCTTCCAAAACCAAACCCTAAACCCTAAACCCTAAACCCTAAACCTTAAACCCTAGATCTTAGACCCCAAAGCGCTGTGTACGATGCAACCCTGGGAGAGACACAAAACCGAGAACTATGTCTTGGCTGCAGCAGCAGCAGCCGCTGCTGCTGCTGCTGCTGCTGCTGCTGGCTGCAGCAACAACAGCTGAGGCTTTCTGTCTTCGTCTGCTGCAGCACAGTGCCCAGCAGCCCCCACCTGGCTGCAACAGCTTCAGCAGCTGCAGCAGCAGCTGCAGCAGCTTCGGCAGCAGCAGCAACAGCAGCAGATATAGCAGCAGCAGCAGCAGCAGCACGCCGTTTGGATCGCTGCTAGTGCCGCTTGAAGAGACATTACAGCCTCTGCAGCAGCAGCAACAACAGCAACAGCAGCAACAGCAGCAGCAGCAGCAGGCCCTCAGGACGAGTAAAAGTCGCCTCTCTCGGTCCCTGCTGCAGCAGCAGCAGCAGCAGCTGTTGAGAGAGAGAATAGAAGCAGCAAGGAGCGCCACCGAGCTGCTGCGGCTGGTGCAGCAGCAGCACAAAAACCTCGATGCTGCTTCTGCTGCTGCTGCAGTAATCAGGTTCGCGAAGATACAGCAGCACCAGCAGCAGCAAACTTTTCCCAGCAGCAGCAGCAGGAACAGCAGCAGCAGAAGCAGCAGCAGGAGAGCCATGTCTACTGAGACGTTGCTGAAGCATTCCACGTGAGCAGCATCTTACAGAACAGCAGCAGCAGCAGCAGTAGCAGCAGCAGCAGCAGCAGCAGTAGCAGTAGCAACAGAGGCAGCAACAGCAGCGGATACTGACCCCGAGCAGCAGCAGCTGCGGCAGCAGCAGCGGCAGCCAATGGCCAGCAGCGGCAACAGCAGCAGAAGCAGCGCCCTTGCTTCTCTGTCCGCGTGCTGCTGCTGCTGCTGCAAGGGGCTATTGCTCTTGCTGCTGCAGCTCTTGCTGCTGCTGCAGCTCTTGCTGCGACTGCTGCCACCTCAGCAAGGGGCTTTTGCTGATGCAGCCATTCCTGCTACTGCTGGTGCAGTTGTTCTTAATGTTGCTGCTGCACCCGTTGTTGCTGCAGCTGTTGCTGCTGCTGCTGTTGCATCTGTTGATGCTTTCGCAGCTGCTATGGCTGCTGGTTAGTTTGCTGCTGTTGCAGCAACTGCTGCAGTTGCTGCTGCAGCAGCGCCAGCAACTGTCGCTGCTCGAGATGCAGCCGCGCGTTGCCGCTTTTGCTGCTGCTGCAGCCACCACTCCTGCTGCTGCTGCTGCTGCTGCTGCAGGTTTTACCGTTTGCTGCTGCTGCTGCAGCTGCAACTCTCTCTAGGGGCCCCGCTGCCGCTTGCTGCTTTAGTTTATATTCCCTGGGCCTTTGGGCGGCTGCTGCTGCACTGCAGCAGCCACAAAGAGCTGGCAGCAGATATGCTTCGGTAAGCCCTAATTGCAAACCCTAAACCCTAAACCCTGACTGCTAGGCGCAGGCGAGAGACGCACGGGCTGGGGTTTAGGGTTTGGGGTTTAGGGTTTAGGGTTTAGGGTTTGGGCTGTTTTTCCGCAGCCAGATTGAATCGCGGCTTCTGCTGCACCTCCCCTCCCAGCAGCAGCAGCAGCAGCGGCAGCAGCAGCAGCAGCAGCAGCAGCAACCGCTGCCGCTGCAGCAGCTGCGCTGCAGCGGTTTGTGTCTTCTTGTCTGGGGCCTTTCTAAAGCAGGAGCTTCGCAAACTCTCTGGCAGTTTGCTGCTGCAGCAATAAGAGATAAACTCCATCTTTTCAACCCCCACGTAAACCCTAAACCCTAAACCCTAAACCCTAAGCCCTGAGCTTTCTGCGTGCTTCGAATTGCGTCTTTGCCGGTGATGGGGAAGTTCTGGGGCAGCAGCAAACCCTCATTCTCAAACTCTAAACCCTAAACCCTAAACCCTAAATTGGTGTTTCTGCAGGAAGTAGCAAGTCTGCTGTATTCCTTTGCGCGAACCAAAGACCCAAGGGCTCTCGAAGCAGCAGCAGCAACACCAACAGCAGCAGCAGCAACAGCAACGGCAGCAGCAGCAGCAGCAGCAGAGCCAAGTGCACCAGCGGCAGCAGCAGCAGCAGCAGAGCCAACTGCAACCGTGGCAGCAGCAGCAGCAGCAGTGCCAAGTGCACCAACGGCAGCAGCAGCAGCAGCAGCAGAGCCAACTGCAACCGCGGCAGCAGCAGCAGCAGCAGAGCCAAGCGCACCAGCGGCACCAGCAGCATCAGCAGCAAGAGCAGCCGCAGCAACAGCAGCTGATTTAGCAGCAGCAGCAGCACCTGTTGCAGCACCAGACGGTTCGGAAGCAGCTGCAGCAGAAGCTGCTGCTGCTGCTGAAGAGATAGACGCAGCAGCAGGTGCAGCAGCAGCAACAGCAGCAGCAGCAACTTGCGAACCTCAAAGTTTGCTGTCTCTGCTGGCCGAAAGAGCTGCTGCAGCTGCAGCAGCAATGAAGGGGCGCACGCTGAGCACTGCAGCACTGGCCCTAACCAACCTCACAAGCAGCAGCAGCAGCAGTAGCAACAGCAGCAGCAGCAGCAGCGGCAGGGATATCGCTAGCAGCAAGTCTGCTTTTTTGGCTGCTGCGGCTTCCCAGATCATCCCGAAGGCTCACACATTTGATACACAGGTCAGCAGCAGCAGCAGCAGCACAAGAGGCAGCAGCTGCTGCGGCTTCCAGTAGGACTGCAGCACCGGCAGCAGCAGCTGCTGTTGCTTCTGCGCTGCAGGCCCTGACGCTGCTGCTGTATTCGTATTCTTTGGAGTACCAGCAGCAGCAGCAGCAGAGGCAGCAGCAGCAGCAGCAGGTGACTGTAGCGGTGTTAGAAAGCCTTGCTGCTGCGCTGCAGCAGCAGCAGCAGCTGCTGCTGCCCGAGGGTTTGTGCATTTGCTGCTTAGTGCTGAGCCGCTGCAAGTGGAAAGACAGCTGGCGGCTTTTCTCGGTGCTAGAGAATCAAGTACCTAAACCCTAAACCCTAAACCCTAAACCCTTAACTTGAAGTGCAAGGGCGGCCCTCGAGCAATTAGGCGAGAGCAGTAACTCTGCTTGAATTTTACCTATCGAGGGTTTAGGGTTTAGGGCCCAGGGTATACAGTTTAACGCTTAGGGTTTAGGGTTTAGGGTTTAGGGTTTAGGGTTTAGGGTTTAGGGTTTGTGTTTGCTGCAGCTGCTGAAGCTCCAGAGCTTCGAGTGCTTCTCTCTGCAGCTGCTGAAGCTCCAGAGCTTCGAGTGCTTCTCTCTGCAGCAGCTTATTGTGTTGCTGTGGAGTGCTGCGAAGCTGAAGCAGCAGCAGCTGCAGCAGCAGCAGCCGCAGCAGCAGCAGCAGCCGCAGCAGCAACAACAGCAACAGCAACAGCAACAGCAACAGCAGCAGCAAAATGTAGAGCTGCTGCGGCGCCTCACTGAGGAGCTCAGTTCGCGGTGACTAAGCAGCTAACTCTAAACCCCAAACCCTAAACCCTAAACCCTCTGTCTTTAAACCCTCCCCTAAACTTCTGCTGCACTTCACATGCCCCTGCTGCTGTATTTAAATAAATAAATAAAATTAATAAAATAAATAAAATAATAATGTAGAATAAAGTAAACAAAATAAAATAAAACAAAAGAAAAAATAAATAAATGAAATAACATAAAATAAAAAATAAGGAAATAATAAATAAATAATTAAGTAAATGATGATAAATAATTAAACCCTAAATAGTTAAATAATTAATTTATTGATTAATTAACCAATTATTTTTAATGAAAGATTTACTTTTTATTATCGAATTAGTATGTTTATTATTTGTTTACTTATTTATCTATTTATTCTGTTTATTATTTATTTTATTTATTTATTTATCTATTTGTTGTTGATTTTATTATTTATTTATATATTTATTTTTTATTTTATTATTATCATTTATTTATTAATTATCACTACTACTTATTATTAATTTATTAACTTACTTATTGTTACTATTTATTTATTTACCTATTTATTATTATTACTATTTATTTATTTATTTATTATTATTTTATTTCACCTTATTTTATTTTATTTTATTTTATTTTATTTTATTTTATTTTGTTTCATTTTATTTTATTTCATTTTATTATATTTCATTTTATTTAATTTTACTTAATTTCATTTAATTTTATTTAATTTTATTTTTTTTAATTTAATTTAATTTAATTTAATTTTATTTAATTTAATTTAGTTTAATTTTATTTAATTTAATTTAATTTTATTTTATTTTATTTTTAGGGTTCAAGTAAACAAAATGACTTCTTTGGATATCGCCATGACTGTCGAAGCCGCAGCGGCTTCGGGGGTTTGCGCGCTGCAGCTCCTCCAGGGTTAGGGTTTAGGGTTTAGGGTTTAGGGTTTAGGGTTTAGGGTTTAGGGCGTGGTGCTTAGGGTTTAGGGTTTGGATCTTAGGGTGGCAGGTAAAAGTAGCTAGGAGATTGATTTGGGGCGAGGCTTGCACGCTTCTGACCTAGGGTTTAGGGTTTAGGGTTTAGGGTTTGTGTTTAGATCTGGCGGAGAAGGCCACGGCATTAGCAGCAGCAGGAACCCTCAGCAGCAAAGAGCAGCTTTGGATTATCTCGGGATTTTCCCGCATAGGGTTTGCTGCTGCTGCTCCCTTTGGTGCTGCTGCAGCTCAGTCATTACTAAACAGGTCTCACTGCTACTGCTGCTACTGCTGCTGCTGGCCTTGCTGTTGCTGCTGTTGCTGTTGGTTCTGCTGTTGCTGCTGCTGCTGGTTTTGCTACTGTTGCTACCGTTGCTGCTGCTACTGCCACTGCTGCAGATGCTGCATTTGTTGCTGTTGGTTTTGCTGTTTTGCTGCTGCTGCTGCTACTGCTGCTGCTAGTTTTGCTACTTCTGCTACTGCTGCTCCCGCATGCACTGCCGCCGTTGCTGCTGCCGCTGCTGCTGTTGCTGCGCGTTGAGTGCCGTTGCTTTTGCTTATGTCCCTGCTAATTTGCTGCTGCTGCTGCTGCTGCTGCAGGTGGGAAGGGGCTTCGTCGCTTGCTGCTGCTGCTCCTTTCCTCGTAGCTGCTTCGAGAATCTCCAGCTGTCAGGACACCGCAACGCAGCAGCTGCTGCAGCTCGCTGCTGCTGCAGTGCGTGACTGGCCCACTTCGTCGCAGCAGCAGCAGCAGCAGCAGCAGCAAACACGGCAGGAAGAGCAGGAGGAGCAGCGGCAGCAGCAACAACCACAGCATCAGAAGCAGCAGCAGCACTATCAGCAGCAGCAGCAGCGACAAGGGCAGGAAGAGCAGGAGGAGCAGCGGCAGCAGCAACAGCCACAGCAGTGGAAGCAACAGCAGCAGCAAAAAGAACAGCAGCAGAAGCAGCAGCAACAGCAGCAGGACACCAGCTGTACTGCAGCACATTTCTCTGCTGCTGACTTGGCTGCGCTTCCATTTCGGGTGTATCTGCAGCTCGTGATAGCACTAGTATGTTGCTGCTACCGTTGCTGCTGCTGCTACTGCTGCTTCTGCCGCTGCTGCTAATGCTTTTTCTGTTGCCAATGCTGCTGCTTCACACGTAAATCAAAATAGGAAGGAAAATACTAAATGGATGCAAAATAAAAGTGTGCTTATTTGCTGCAGGCCCAAGCGCAGCAGCAGCGAAAAGTTGAAACTGAACATTTCTTTTTGCTGCTGCGCCACAACCTTGAGAGCTGCAGCTCCAACGACTGGAACGAGGTGCAGCAGCAGCAGCAGCAGCAGCAGCTGCGGCAGCAGCAGCAGTAGCAGCAGTAGGAGGAGGAATATTGGTAGTACTGGCAGCAGCAGTCGCAGCAGCAGCAGCAGCATCAGTATCAGTAGCAGCAACAGTAATATATGTAGCAGCAGCAAAAGCAGCAGCAGCTGGGCACCTCAAGCAGGCCCCATCTCATCATTTTTTTCTCCTCTGCTGCTGCTGCTGCTGCTGCTGCTGCTGCTGCTGCTTGTTTGTTTGCAGCTGCATCGCCTGGCGGGCCTTTTGAACATTCAGCAGCACCCAGAATGGCTGGCCCTGACTGCTGCTGCTGCAGGCCGTATTCACCGCTTGCTGCAGCAGCAGCAGCAGCAGCGGGCGCAGCAACAGCAGCAGCATGGGAAGGCAGCAGGCAGCAGCAGCAGGGGCATCACCAGCAGCAGCGGAGTCGAGCACGAGCTGGACGCTAAGGACTTCCTTGAGAGTTTGCGGATGCGCTTTGTAAGTTCCGAAACCCTAAACCCTCTTCTTCGGGTTTAGGATTTAGGTTTTAGGGTTTAGGGTCTAGGGTTTAGGGTTTAGGGTTTAGCGGAGAAGCCCAGTATGCTTTTTGTGGCGAAGTTTTAGGGTTTGGGGTTCGCGTCTGTCGGCCATAGGCCCTTCGGGTTTGCAAGAACCCAATGTTCGGAGGTTTATGGTTTAGGGTTTAGGGTTTAGGGTTTAGGGTTTGTCGCGTCTGCTGCGACACAGGGGCCCCCGAGCAACTGGGGCCATCTCCCTTCAAGAAAGCACTGACCCAAACCCTAGGGGCCCCCACAGCCATTGCTTTGGGGCCCCTCTAATAAGGGGGCCCCCCTAATAAAGGGCTCCCCTAATTAGGGCCCCCCCTGAATGAGGGGGCCCCCTAATAGGCCCCCCAAATTTGGGGCCCCCCTGAATAAGGGGCCCCCCCTAATTTGGGGCCCCCCTAGTAAGGGCCCCCCTAATTAGGGGCCCCCCTATTAAGGGAGCCCCCTAATAAGGGGGAATCCTAATTAGGGGCCCCCCTTTTGGGGGCCCCTAGTGGAGGCTGCCCTTCTGAGGGCACCTGTGGGGTGCCCCTATTGGGGCCCCCTTCCTGAAGGCCCTCCTCCTAGGGGCCCCCCTTTAGGGGGCCCTCTTCTGAGGGGACCCATTTGGGTTCTGGGGGTCCCCTTCTACTAGAGGGCCCCCTACAGGGGCTTTTAGGGGCCCCTGTGGGGCCCCAGCTGTGGGGCCCCACAGGGTCCCCACAGCAGGGGCCCCACAGCCCCCACTTCCGAAACGGGGGGCCCCACAGCAGTGGCTCCCTAGGGCCTCTAAGGGGCTCCCTGGGGCCTCTTAGGGGACCCCGCGAGGTATCCCAGGGGCCCCCTGGGGCCCCTCAGGGACTTTGAGGGGCCCCCCTTTGAAAGACCTACTTAGGGGGGCCCCCAGATAGTCTTTTTTATCTTTTTGAAAAGCTTGTATTTATTTATCCATTTATTATCTTTATTTGTTTTTTTAAAGGAAATATTAGAGCCAAGAAGTGCTAATGTGGGGCCCCAGAGAGTGTGCTGTACATACACCCCAAGTGCAGCTGGGGGGCGCGCATGCAAAACTTTTAGCACCATTTTTAATTTAAAATATAATTATAATTGTAATTATAATTATAAATTAACTAAAATATATTTATAGTTGTAAATTAATTAAAATAGAATTTATAATTGTAAATTAATTAAGTGAATTAATCAAAATATAAATATAATAATTACTTATAAATATAAATATGAACATACATTTATATGCTGTGTTTACTTATTTCAAAAATGTGCAGGTGTATGTACACTTTAATTAAACAAAGCTGTGTCCAGTTGAGGCCCTCAGAGTGGCGCTCTAGGCATGACAAGTTGTTTCTAGGGTTTAGGGTTTAGGGTCTAGGGTTTACGGTTTAGGGTTTAGGGTTTAGGGTTTGTGGTTTGGAAAGCGCTGGTGCGCCGTGTTTTGGA